CTACCTGTCGTGGGGCGGCGCGGAGCCCGGCTCGCAGCCCCACCTCGTCTTCATCCTGGCGGATGACCAGGGCTTCCGAGACGTGGGCTACCACGGCTCCGAGATCCGCACGCCCGCGCTGGACCGCCTGGCGGCCGAGGGCGTGAAGCTGGAGAACTACTACGTGCAGCCCATGTGCACGCCGTCCCGCAGCCAGCTCATCACCGGCAAGTGAGTGCGGCCCGCGGGGAGGAAGGCGCCCCGGGGGCATGTCGGGGGGAGCGCTTGTTGGACCCGGGTGGCTGGGGGTGAGGGCCCCCTTGCCCTGCACGGGGAGTTTGGAGCACTTCACCCCTGGAGAGTCCACCTACTACCTACCTCCTTAAGGGGCGTGTCTACAGGTCACCCTAGGTGGCTGAATGGTGCACTACAGAGATGTGCAGATCACTTGTGCCTGCATGGGATCGCCAGCCACATCGCTATAGCAGCACGCTCCCTGGCTATATTGGCACCACTTCAGCGCCTTAGCGATCACGTGTGTCTACTACATGATCGCTAGCTATGTTGCTGTAGCAGCACGCTCCAAGGTTATAGCGGCACCATAGGGATCACGTGTGTCTATTACATGATCGCTAGCTACGTTGCCGTAGCAGCACGTTCCCTGGCTATATTAGCACCACTTCACGCTGTAGTGACCACGTGTGTCTGTACATAATCGCTAACTACATCACCATAGCAGCACGCTCCCTGGCTATATTGGCGCCACTTCTGCGCCATAGCAATCACATGTGTCTGCATGTGATCGCTAACTACATCCCTGTACCAGCACACTCCCTGGTTATATTGGTGTCACTTCAGCAATGTAGCGATCATGTGTCTGCATGTGATCGCCAGCTACATCAGCCATAGAAGTGCACTCCCCAAGTATGGGGAGTGTAGTGACGAAATCTAACCGTGCACCACGCACATGGCGCAGTAACTGCCTGTACTGTGCTGCGCTTTAGTACTTCTGAAAGCACTGTAGCAACATCACCATATGGTGACATGTAGGTGCACCCAAAGTAGTTTTAAGTGCTTGTTATATGGCTCAAAGTTACGCTGCTCCAGGGCAGGATGATCTCTGATAAGCACTACCCATCTCCACTTTTGTTCAGGTGCGGCCACTCCCCATGGATGTGCCGCCCAAGTGGAAGGCCTCCAGTATCCCAGGTCTCTCTCACCCCAGCCCCTAGAGAGGGAGAGAAGCCTGTCTTGGCTCACGAGTCCTCCAGTTGCAGCTCCCAGCTACAGCTCCAAGTCCTGCCCCTGTTCCCCAGGCCTCATGGCCAGTCACAGCTGTGCAGGTGGGGGACAGTCAGAGAAGGTTTCTAGACTAAGGGTGTGATTGATCCTAACTCCAAGCTGGCACTAATACCAGCCAGCAGTGTAAGGTGTAACAAGGCCCTTAAATGTGCTGTTCCAATGCGAGGTGAGCTTCCTCACGTCTGGGTAGTACCAGTGCACTACAGTTAAGAAAATCAGGGAAGGGGAAAGGAGTTATGCCACCGCCCAGAGAGGTGGTGGAATCTCCATCCTTAGAGACCTGGGTAGACAAAGCCTTGGCTGGGATGAGAGAGTTGGAGATCATCCTGCTTTGAGAAGGGGGTTAGGCTGGATGGCCTCCTGAGGTCCATTCCAGTCCTCATTTCCTGGGAGAACAGGACCTTTAAAAAAGAGCAGAGGATCAATCACACTTATCCAGTGTGAGAAGGATTCAGGGATCAAATTAAGTTATGATGTGCCATGAAACCAATATCAGTGTGAAGTCCTTGGTTCTACATTTTCCCCTTGGCTAAAACTGTCATTTTTTTTAAACTAATGACAGCAATTGCACTGTGTTATCCTGTCACCCAGTAAGAGTTCAGCGCTGTGAACAACCCATTTTGCAACATTTTAGAAGCGGATTAGCATTCATTAATCTAAAGACGAGCTGTAACTTCATGTGTCAGTATTACTGAGGAGTGCTTGCTGAGATCCGTGGTGTGCTTTTACAATTAGCAAATAGGCTGACCCAAAGTAAAATCCCATGTTAGTAAAGTAAAATCCCATGTTAGTAAAGCAGGATGAAAGCTGCACGTTTTGCTTTACCTAACACTATGCAAATCACAACTCTGGTTACATTGAGTCTTGCTTTAATGTGGTCTTTCTATGAAATTAGGACTTTTAAGGGGACTCCGTTGAATTTCAGCTTGGCATGAGCTAAGAATTCTGCAGGACTTTATGAACTGGGGTATTTCTTTTCTTATAATGTAATTGCCATCCTGCAAACAGTTAAAAACTTATTTCCAGTGCTACTAGAAGAATTTCCACAAATGCATGTCACAAGCATGGGACTGAAGATGTCCTACCTTGTTCTGCTTGGTATTTTTAAAACAATCTGTTGAGTAACTAATGTATCCAATGTAAGGGTTAATGCATATTATGTAAGGATGTGAATTTGAAATGCTGTAGCTGTTCCTGAATAACTTCAAGTGTGGACAGTTGTAATCTGGTCCACGTAGTTTCCGTTCAGCTTAACCTACTTTGACAGGATATTGTTGATATCACTGGATACAAAAGAAACATTTTTCTTAAAGCAAATAGCCCCGTGTCTCACATTACTATCTGATAGAATCAGAGTTGATTCCTGTTCTCAGTTTCCCATTGTCCAGGCTTGCTGGGGAAGGGAGTTCAGCACAGAGAGCTTACTCATTATCTGGAGCAAGAGTTCTCAAACTCCCTCATACTGAAGACTATATAGCAAAAGAAAGATTGTCTTGTAGGCATTCCCTAATTCACAATCATATAGCATCTCTGTGGCAAGTAAAGCAACAGATTATATAGGAAATTTGAGGTAGTACACAATGCATTTTTGCTTATCTTTTTTTCAGTGTAGCAGGGGTAATTGGGATCAGAGCCAGCTCTCTGTGGACCACCAGCTAGTACTCCACAGACCGCAGTTTCAGAGTCATTGCCTACAGAGGGAATAGCATGCTGCAGAACAGTGACTCATTCAGTGGTTTAAAGAATGACATTATTGGGTTCCAAAAGAACCAGTGTGCTGTGCTGTCTTTCTTGAGATCAAGGGATGCTACAGGAGAAATACAGGCATTAGCAGGACTCTGAAAGGAACAAAAACAAAACGCAAGAAGAAAAAAACTGAGTTTACCCTTCCTTTACATATAAAGCATTATATTTGATAACTTTTTATACTAATAAAAACAGAGAAAACTCATGGGCATATTCTTAGGAACCCTGCTGTTTTCATCAGGCCACTGGGAGAAAATAACTGAAAATGACTGCTGTGTTTTTGGAACCTTTTATTAGGTGAAATCTTGAGATGAAATACCCAAGATTTTCTTATGCTTCATTCAAACATCTGTTCCCCATTCCTCACAAAATAAACTTGGCTTGACCTGTCCCAAACTTCCCAGCTAGGGACAGAAGTTGCATACAAACTGGTTTAAGTGATCTGAAACTAGTTTAAACCTGTAACAGAACAGAAGTTCAGTGCATATAAACCACTTTCAAAATGGCCGAACCTAGTTTAAGATAACCTGATTGGTTTAAGACAACTGATTTAAGTTAAACCAGTTTATTGAACTTCTCTCCCAGATCTATCTGACTAATCAACAAGGGGATAAAATAGAGGGACTACTATAAACCATGTTCATGAAGAAGTGCTAATTGTCATCTAATATAAGATTCAGGCAAAGGAACTGCAAATTCTAAATTCCTTGCAAATCTCCAGATTGTCCCAGTGAGATTTATGTTCACAACATCAAATTATGTTTATTTGTAAATAAAGCATGCTCTTATAATGAATGTTTTCAAAAGTCTTCCTAATAATGTCTTTTTTCTCTTAAATTGTGTATATAATTTCCCTTGACATAGGTGACAAAATTAACTTCTCTTGGTAGTTCTCAACTTTGTGTAGAGTGAGGGGTGGTGGGAATCCATAGATTATTTGGACTGCTAGGCTTCCTCATGCCATAGCATGGCGTTGTAACTGCTACCCCTGTTTTGTCTGTTTTCTCTTCCCTCTGTTTTATGTCTATTGTCTTCTTCTTGGGTTTTGATTTTTCCTTTCCTTTCTGAATTTCTCGTTCTTTCCACCATCTTTTTTCTTACTTGCTTATTAACTTATGAGAAACCTGCTGCATTTAGGGAGATAGTCCAGTTCTGAGATTGGGCTTCATGTGCTTTTAGCAGCTGAACTTGAATCTTGGGAGTAGAGAAGAGAAATTTGAGCCAATGGGCTTGATGCCATGTGTGATCTACTCGTCTAATAGAGGCCAAAACAGGGAGGTAAAGGCAGGCAGCTTTCAGGAAGCAGCTTGCCCTGGGATCTGCAGCTGTGGAATTCTGATTGCAACAGAGAACTGGTTGGATCTAAGGCTCATTTTCAGGCTTGCTGTGCTCTTTTCCTGGGCTCTACATCCTGAGATTTATTTCTCTCTGGGTTTCCATAGCTAATTTAGAAATGTCATATTGATCAAGAATATTTTCTAAGGAAAGGGGTTTTTAGGTTTCAGTCTTTCCTGTTTTGACTTTCTACATTCAGGTAGCATTGGGTTGAGCTGAACAGTGGCTCAGGTATACTTAATGAATTATTGACTATAACTTTACAGCAAAGTTGTCCCCTGTCCCCTTCCCCCCCTGCCCATGCACTTATACGAATGAGCATAACATGCAAACAACTCTGGATCCTCCAAACTGAATTCATTATGTAGAAGGCATGGCAGGGCAGCACCTTACAGACTAACTCATTCAGTGAGGCATGAGCTTTCGTAAGTTATAGTCTACTTTGCCAGATGCTATGATGAAGCATCTGGCAAAAGTAGGTTGCAGTCTATAAGTTAGTCTATAGACTGCCATCTGCCTTACCTTTTGCCTATCCTCAGACTACCAAATCTAAATACCCTTTTCTGTTGCATTAGATGTTGTAGTGTGTTTGTTTTTACTTTTTCTTTAAAAATAAATGGAAGTCTTGAGACTTCTCCTTGAAATAGAAATAATTCAGAACATGTGACTTGCAGAACTGCAGCTAAGACAGAAATTTTCTTGCATGAATGTTGGTTGTCTTGTTCTGATCAAATGGTTGAGAAGAAATCTGAAGGGTGTCTTCATCCCATGTGTTATCATATCAATTTAAAATACTGGAACGCAATGAAGGACTACCATTTGGTGGGTCCCTACATGTAAGAAGAAAT